ATGACGAAATTGAATATTGACAGTAAAACAGCACTGTAATAAATATCCGTTTCTACAAACAAGTGGGCCTACTGGTAACAACTTTTTGTTTTACCGTTCGTTAATTTAATTCATATTGCTTTATTATTCATAGTTCTCTGTTCCACTTGATGACTCTATTTATGAGATTGTGACTCTGTGGAGATATGATTGTTAATATCCTGGAGGGCTATTCTCTCAAAGTAAAGGAAAATGCACCATTACGGTCTAGTTACCATTCATATCTATCAGCTTTATTTGTTTTTTTCCATTTTGTTCTCTGCTATGAATATTGACATTATTCACTATTTATAATATCCAAATCATGGCTCCGCAAGAGTGCTTAATAGCTGTTATAGGTATTGACTCCATTTTGAACTACTGCTTGGAATCTTTTTCAATAAATGGCACCGGTATATTCTATGACCAAGAAAACATAGCCACTGAAAATATCACTGTAGAATCACTAGTTTATGATTTATAGTTATACAAAAAAATATATATATAACGGCCATTTTGGATGCCATTTTAAATTTGTTCATTATCGATCAAAACATATTCTAAGTCTTCTAATAAGTTTCTTGGCTCATAAACATCAGTTTAGAGACAAAATCGCGACTCCAATTAAGAGGAAATTGCCAGATTTATAGCTATTTTTAAGGTATTGGCACCATTTTGGCAGCCATCTTGAAAAAACCATTTTCCGGTGCTCCGATTTTTGCCAACTTTTGATATGTTTTTCTCTAGACCTCATTTTACAGAAAAACATCAAAAAACGTTTTCTTGCAATTTGTTTGGGGTCACATGTCAGATTGACCTTACTATTTTAGTCTCATTCATACTCATCTTCTTATATCCATGTTTTTCTATTTGATTGTTTGATTTCTATTAGATCATTTGATTTCTATTTGTATTTTGATGCTTTTTTATTTGCCTATGATGTGTTGATTGTTGTTTTCTCTCCGTTTTTTTGATACAGTAAATTGAAATTAAAATTAGTCCTAAAACAGCTGATAGAAGGCGCCACAATTATCTGGAGCTTTCAACAACTACACACACTGTTGTCTGAAGATTTGTTGGTAGCAACAATATTTTGGTTTACCTAAGAACAGTTCAATTACATAGAATAATACAGTAGCAGTGGTCTTCATTGGTGAGTTGAATGTTGTGAAATTAAATCTCGGAAATTGTTTTTCAGGATGTGGCTCGACAGCACCAGATTCAACTGGCAACATTACTCTGGATAATGGAACTATTGTGCCAATGGGTAAAAGTATAAATACAGGTGTTCGAGGATCACTGCTGTATAATGAGTATCCTTTTAATATTTCCTGTCTTCATGAGCCAGGTGCATCTTGTAGGTCTTAAGAAACATTCGATCATTTTTTAATCGGAAGCAAGCTGAAACAGCTGCATGCATACAACAGAATTCATTTGCAGGACTCTATGTTGCTTTAGCTTGGTTCTTGGTTCTGTAATCCTTTACAGCTGAGATCAGCTAAACCGGATGATTCCAAATTTCACTTTGATACTCAAGTTGGGGTCGTACAAGTGTAGTGTACAGGGAGATAGTGTTCTTCATAGTAACCCAAGGGTGCGACTGGCTTTGTTGAGAAATTTATTACAGTGGTCATTCCATCAGATCGTATAAGATTGTGATTCCTAGGTAATCATGTTTACGAACCCTCTTAAGATCTTTGCCGAAGAGAGTTGCTTGCGACTGATAACACTGCACACTTTTTAACGTTGAATTTCATAAGCCATCTAGATGACCATGTAGCCAGGTATTCAGATCTTGTTGAAAAATGTTGTGATCAGTAAGATCTACAATCTCCCAATATACAATACTGTCATCAGCATACAGTTTTATAGTTGATTTGTTACAAAATAAAACTGGTCCTAGTACGAAGCCCTGCGAGACCCCTGATGTAACACTGACCCATGAAGAATGAATGCCACTGAAAACAGCTTGTTGACGGTTTTGATAAAAATTACTGATCCATGCAAGTGTGTTATCCCTGATGAAATAGAAATTTAACATAGTAGAATGGTGAGAGGCTAAGTCTAGCAATATTATATCAGTTTGCCTCTTCTAATTCAAAGTTTCCACTCAATTGGTGGAATTTGCAAGCTGGGTTACTGTTGACAGGCCATGTCAACCACTGACCTGAATGTTTGATTTCAGATGCTATATGATTCAGTACAATGACCTTGCATGTCAGACATGTGAGAGAAATTGGCCTATAGTTTGTCGTATCAGTTTTGGATCCTTCATTATTGCTAAATAGATGGGTGGCCATCAGATTAAAAGTGCTCAAAAATTTTTTTTCGTAGGCATCACTTGTCACAAACTGGCAACAAGGTCGAATTCTCATCATCAGCTATTGGCTCACATGGAATGGGCAGTTTCCATTCTGAATTTTGGATTTAAGTGCCAAATTTGACACATTTTTACCCAAAAATGGTATTTTGAAGCCCGTCACTGAAAGATTCAATATCAATACATTTTGTATTTATATAAAAGATATTAAAATTATCTATCGAATGATGTATATGATGACACATTATGTTATTTTATCCCTCAACATTTACCAAAAAAATATATTTTTTCAATTGAATATATTTGGTATCACACAAAAGCTATTAAAATCTCTCAAATAATGTGTATGATGACACATTACTTTAATGTTGTTACCCAAAAAGTATTAAAAACATACTTTTTATGACTTTTTTCATAAATTTAAAAATACATGTTTTATTTATGAAAAATGCTAAGCTAAAAACTTTTCCACTAATATTTTCTCAAAAACTGGTGAATTCTCTTTAGCAGGCATTGGCTCACATGGAATGGGCTGAAACCACACTGAATTTTGGATTTTAGTGGCAAACTTGACCATGTTTTTTACTCAAAAGTTGTATTTTGAAGCTAGTCCATCACTGAAAGATTCAATTTGAATATAATTATTTGATACCATACAAAAACTACTAGAATTATCTATCGAATGATCTATATGATGACACATTATATTGAATTTGTGAACAAACAATTACCAAAATACATGTTTCTTTAATTTTTTTTCTCTAAATTGAATAATATACATGTTTTATTAAATTAATACAAAAATATTCATACTGTCTCTTATACACATCTAGATGTGTATAAGAGACAGCCCTTGTAGAGTCGTCCATCGAATTCCATGACGCGCTTTGAACTTATCTAACCATCCACCGCTAGCCAGAAAGTTTTGGCCAGGGTAAAATTGTTCGGCAAAGAACAAAATCCTTCTCTCTTAACAACGGTCCCTGAACAGACACTCCCTTAGCCCT